GCAAGCCACGCGCGCATGCCCGGAGGCGCGTGCGTAGTGCACCATCCCACAATCCAGGTGCTACTCAGGCTGGGGGAGGACTCCAGCTTACACCAACTGCCCTCGGCCTTGCGATTGGCTCCTGAATGGCGGAAGCTTCCTGGTTGCCCTGGCAGCCAGGGGATGGTCCTGGGTTCCCTGTGTATATAAAGCCGGTCAGAGCCTTGACTCATTGCTGAGTTATTCTACCTCATGGTGAACACCCAGCTCCCTCCTGTGCACCTGTTTATTGATCTGACTTCCCGGCTATCGACCCTTCACCTACAACTCTTGCTCCCTGCCACGACCCGGAACTGGACTTGACCACTCTATTTGGATTACCCTTTTGTACTGTAATTTTGTACTTACTTCGTCCCTGCCAAGGGGTTCCACTCCCGGCCCGTCTACTCTGCCTGACATAATAAATCTACTCGGCCTGACACTTTTGGACCTCAAACAACAATGAATCATACTATGGTATAACGGGACAGTGGATTGATTCCGACTGGAAACTGACATCAGTAGCTTTAGGTTGCTTACTTGTTGACGAACGACACACTGCTGAAAATGTTGCCAGTTTCTATGAAGAGTTTGCTGCAACATGGAACATCACCGATAAAATATGCTGTAATGTAACGGACAATGCACGGAACATGGTTGCTGCTATCGGACAAACGAATTATAGTCACATACCATGAATCGCACATTGTCTTCAGCTCAGCATATTAGCAGGTTTGAAGGCAGCTGACCCATCACCTCTTGTGGCAAAATGTCGACACTCAGTTGGACATTTCAAGCACAGCTCGGCCAACACATCCGAACTGAAGAGCAGCCATTCCAGTGTCTCTTCGCCGAAAGATGATGCCATGTTCCACAAATTGCAGCAGGATGTGGGAACTCGTTGGAACAGAACCTACATGATGTTAGCCAGATTGTTGGAAGTCAAAGATGACATAATGCAGTATCACATCGATCATCCATAAAAACTACAGTGGACCAAAAAAGACAATCAGATTGGGACAACATGGCCAAATATACGTCCGTGTTAGGTTGACGTGCAGATGCTACAGAATATGTTGGGAGTCAACAATATGCGACATGTTCTGCCGTTCCTCCGTTACAAGCCTTTTTGCGTAGACTGTTAATGGTTAATGATGACGATCCAGGTTATATTGGACGATTCAAAACTGCAACATTGAACGACTTCGCACACAGAATTGAAGGCATTGATGCTTTGACAACCTTGCAAATGGCTGTGGCCTTATATCCACGTTACAAGTAACTCACCTGAAGAGAGAAACGCGAAGCAGTGTGGGCAGCATTGTCGAATGCATTCAGGGCCTTCCACGATAGAAGACAGCCAGCAGGACTTCCAACAGGCTTAGAAGAAAAAACAAGCAATGATGAGACAAAAGTACCCGTGCCGAAGAAACAAAAACTGAATCTGAATCGCAGTCCTCAGGTGACTAATCCGATGCAGTACACGGTGCACAGGCCGAGCTGATGCGATACCAAGTAGAAGCTCCCATTCCAGAAACAGAGGATCCTCTCATGTGGTGGAAACGTAATAACCATCATTTTCCTGTCCTAAGCAGTTTTGTGCAGACAATTCTTTGTGTACCGGCAACATCTGTTCCGTGCAAAAGACTTCTCAGTTCTTCAGGGTATATCGTCAATAAAATGTGATCATGTCTGCTTCCAGAAAATGTAAACGCTCTGCTATGTCTGTGTGACTGGCTAAAGTGATGCCTACTTGCCTACTATAAAGTGACAGTCAGTATACCGGATAAGTTTTATAATTAAACAAACTCTCTACGTTTTTCTTAAAGTTTAATAAAAATAACTTGCGTCAGTGTTACAGTTTGAATTTAAAACGTATTTGTGTGAACTGTGAAGTTAAGTCAGGGATTGTGGAAACTAACTAGTGCCGGGTGATTGTATATAGTGTATACCACAGACTAATGCAGAGTTGCAATGCAAGCAGATCAGCTAAACGTAGTTGGATCTGTATGTGCGTTATAATTAATCGAAATTAATTGAATTTAAAAAATTGATTAATCGAGCACGAAAATGTTAATCAGTACCAGTGTATATATATATAGATTATATTCCCTATTTATATATTTATATATATATATATATATATGCACATACTCTAGCATGTATTGTGTCATTACCAAAATGGGGCCTAATTCAAGTTTTAAATACTGTCTATGGAATGTGTACAACATATCTGGCTGTTACTAAGCTGGCATAACGCCCAGCCATTATATTGTATGTCTGGCTATTATCTATAAAATATGACACACTAATGTTTCTTTCAGGATCTAAATTGCCTCATCTCTGGGACATGGGGGTCGTGGTTTTGAAGTGTTTTGTGCATTATATTGTCACATTTTGTTTAAACCTTTTATACAATACAGTGTGGTATTACAACAAAGATCAGAGCATTTTCTTATGAAGCTGTCTTGCCACTGGCCAGTTGGTATCAGTGCATCCCTACTAAAGACCTTAACTTCATACCAAGTACAGTACTCGGTACAAGTACATGCACCAATACTTTTCAAGGTCTACACTAGAAACAAATTCAAAAGTTAGGAGGCGGCTGTCATTTGTAAGGAGCACACGGAGCTACCGGGATTTGTACATCTCTCTTGTAATGTATGATTTTGTTTTTATAAATACAAATAAAGGGATGCACAGATACCACTTTTGTGAGTACGGTTCCTGATACATTTTTGTTTGTCGTGTGACACATTTTCTAAAACAATACAGACTAATGGATTTCAAGACAGTGGTGGAGCGCCAGAGCCCGCTCCCATCTAAAACACTGGTAGTTATTGTGAAAATGACAAGTATCGGCATTGGTACTCGAAAAGTATCGGTGCATCCCTAGTCTTTAGCTTTATTATTTGAAAACCTCCCTGTATATTTTAGGGCTTGTTTCCAGCAGGCTATGTGCTCATCACACTGCCCCATGCCTGGAAGGCAAGAGATCACATACACAAAGGTTCCTTGTGTTCTGGGGCTGGAGGGGGCGTAGCAGTGGCATTCCTGCCAATGGCATTGCAGATGCCCCCCACTCGCAGTGTGATTGGCCACACATGACCATGTGGTAAAACAATGCCCTGCGTTCCAGTGCGGTACGGTCATGCATGCACTTTTTTTGTGATCGGCTACACCAACACAGATCATTGTTTTAGCATGTGGTCCTGTGCGGCCGATCACACTGTGAGCGGCGGGCGGGCGCCCACAGCTTTATTGACATCAATGGCACTGTCACCCCTTGCCCCCGAATGCAAGGAAACTTTGTGTATGTGATCTCTTGGTTTCTGGGCATGGGGCAGTGTGATGAGCGCATGGGCTGGTGGAAAGAAGCCCTTAGATCCGTTGTGGTTTCTATTGTGATCGCTAAATTTAGGCCTATTGCTGCTAGATGAAAAGAAAATCAGGTATCCCGACAAACAAAATGCTTAATCGGATTGGGGTGCTGCAGCTAAATTTAAGCTAAGCAATAAGGTAACAGTAAATAAATTAACCATGTGTATAATTCCAAGAATATAGTGCCTTTGGGGGGGGGGGGGGGGAGAGGGGGCACAAAAAGTGGGGG